CAGTGTACAAAATTTGGCGGGGACCATTACACGAGGAGGCTGCCGCGGATGTCGAATGGGTATACAAACCGTACATGTCAACCACATACAAACGAAAATTCCTTTCCGAATAAATTCTTTTCACTGTGTGTTGTATTCTGGTTTCCGGATGGAAATTTGACAGCGTGTTCGCACACTTATGTGATGGGTGATTGAGTTGGAGAGGAGCCATCTGAGGCACCCCAGAGCCCGATAGGTGTGATCGTAAAGTAGATTGTTTTCATTAGGGAGAATTCTTGTCGGTTGAATGGCGCACGCCTCGTCCTCATCATCCGGTTCGCGGTAATGGCGGCACGGCCTCGTTTGACGTCGAAACTTGTGCACTTGATTCACGAATCTCGGTTGAACACCCGGGGTATCCAACCCAATGACCGTATTGGAGACTGGTCGCTCACAGTCCAGTGATTGTCCTCGCTATGCAGTCGCGTCACTGTGCACATGAAATAGTCCCTGTCATTGGTTCTGTCCAAACCAGATACTTGTGTTAGGGATCGACCGATGATAAACTTGTACCGGAGAAAATCTCATCGGTTTTCCCCCATTCAACTTGAAGCGGACTTCTTTGTAGAGAAATCCCAGACTGTAATAGTGACAGGCAAACGTGAAGCAACTATCAGATCGATGGAAATGTTTATTTGTCCATAATGTGGCGTTCTATGCAGAGGAGATAGGAAGCCAACTTTTTGGTTCCCATTAGTAACCTTTCTCAACCGGATTTCGCAGTCCAGTTATTAGCAATCAGGCCTTTTACTACTACTCTAACCACTCTTGCCTTCACGGATCGACCAGCGGGTTTAGGCAGAAAGTAGCAACCAAAATCAGAGCAAAGGGGTGTACGATTCATGAGCTGTTATGTGTAAAATTGACAAAACGAACAGTCGCCTCGAATAAGTATGGTTTACTGAGAACTGTGGGGACCAAATTGCACTGCGGTCGCTGAGAGAAACTGGCGTCTTTGGACCAGGTTATTTTGATGAGTCAATCAGAGAGAGAGAGAGAGATTCTCGCTTGTTGAGGATGACAGCTTTTTAATCAGACTATGGGCACTTTCGCCATCTGATAACATTTGTGTTTTCCACCCTAGTAATAATATCGCGGTACATACATGTTTCCCGTGAACAGAGGCCACCAAAAAAACGAGATTCACAACCTAAGACAAGTCAATTTGCTTCGCGGACAGCATAAAGATTTGCGTCCAATCTGAAATTGTCTTCTTGTTTTCCTTTTCTGTATGTGTTCTTTCGATGTGACCAAACGCGTCAGAGAGAGAGAGAGCTGTCCGAAACATCGAGGCTGGCCACTGTATCTTGTTGTTGAACTACCCACTATTGGCTGAATCGGAATCTAATTTCCGACAGTCCGGAAATACTGGGGTTGTTTATACTAGTTTGCTATTCAGTAGGAATCATGCGACCACGATAATAGATCACCCGTTATTCAACTATCCTCGTGAACTGTGCATTTCAGTAGGTGAGAATTCGGACAGTTACATTCTGTCGAAATAACGCAATAAAAATCGATGAAGAGGCCAGTTCACAAAAATTTAGCTCATTAGTTTATTCAAGCCGCAGGCCGAAACCGCCTCTAGTGTGGTTCCTTGTTCACAGCAATGCTTTAGCGTTGGAATCGGTTTATCAACCCATCTGTTAGCGATTCACTTTCCAACCCGATCAATCGAGATTGGGTTCGAGTATCCAGCCCTCCATTTCACTAACACCTTCAATCTTGCTTGTTGTCCAATTGTCTGACTGCTGGTTCTCAAGGTGAAGAAGCACAACAAGTCCACAGTATGTGGCGTAAAAGATTGAGCGACTCTGAGATAATCGTGCTCAGCAACTGGCTACTTGTTAGTAGCCAGTTCAGGGGTAAACCTATTGGTGCTTCCTGCATGTAGGCCATATGCACAAATCAACTTTCTCACCTAAGACCATCTAATCTATGGACTGCAGTGTAAAGATTAAGATGATGTAATCGATCACCGAGAGACATATCAATATCCCGTGCAGCTCACTAACAGTCATTTTGATTCCTTCTGAGATTGATCCGTTGCATTCATTGGCATCGGAGTATTTGAATAATCGTTCCAATTTTTAAGGATCAAATGAAACGCTCCCTGGCCCCGTTGTAGATAGGCACCTAAGTCTACTACCAATAATCTTAAAACATTTTTGAATAAATCCTTGTATTCATTGTCACAAGGATCTTTTTAAAAAATGGAACTCTACTTGCAACATAGAATTATCAATGAAAAAAATGCACATTACGTCATTTTCGAGCGGAGCGCACAGTCCAGTCTCAAGCGATATCACACCAATTTTTTTATTCCAGCTTCGGGTTTCACGCTTTACAGTTTATTTGGCAATTCGGCCGTGGTGAGACCGCAATAGGAAAATATTTGCTCCCTTCAAATCCCAGAGAAGCATAGTAACAAATGGTTCAGATTGCCTTCCAACAGTCGTATTCCAAATGTGCCGAATGGGACACCCGCCTTGACAATTAAAGGGTAACATCTATAACACACGTCAAAATCCTCTGATGCCGCTTTCAGCAGTTGAAGGTCGTGTGTATAAGAAACCACCATGTCGCTCTTGTACAGGCTTCAAATCATGATGAACCAAGAAAGAATTCATGGTTGAATCATTGTCGGCCAAAAATAGAATCTTCCATATACTTCAAACTCCATGCGAAAAAACCAATAGTAGTATCACAAGTTTGAAGTCGAAATGTACCGTTGTAATGATATCCCTGGAACTTCATCCACCATAGTACAATTCTCAAAATCCAAGTTGCAATATTGCGGGTACAATCATTAGTTAAATCTGAAACAAAAACATAGGCGTAAACTGTTGTTGTAACGAAAAGTAATGGTGAACCCTTGATTAATAAATTTCTCCCGTACTCCCGGCGTTCGCAACACAACAGCAAGAACGACATCGGACGCAGAAGCCGAGTATATTCAGGACCAGGAAGTACAACCATCGTGTCCTTAGTGTCAGTTCATATTTATGTACAACCAAACAGGCGAGAGTCCAATCAATCCAATGCAAACTACGCTGTAGGGGAATTTTGTGTCTCCTGCTTTTACGATACCGTCTTGTGTCAGTGCTGTTTTTGTTCGATCTCTGTGGGAAGAGGAATACGAAGAGGGAAAAATTAGCCCACATCAAGATGTCTGCTCCCTAATTGGCACTACACTCGTCCCCATCCCTTACGAATTGATCACTGTCCTCAGTGCGATTGCCGGTTCGCCTTCCGAGGGAACTTCGCATTCTTTCGCGACAATTGAGCTCTCTGTTTGGGAGGTGTCACGGGTGGTATCGGGCTTTAATCGGTTGAAATGTACGAATACGGGCTGTTTCATGGGATCATCTATTGATTGGATGTAGCAGATGACCTCAGAATCAATGGAGTTAACCACTAAGGGGTCTTGCCGCTTAGGTAGGAATTTTGCTTTGGTTCTGGGGTCTCTACATGTAAAGAGACACGGTCTCCGGGCATTCGTGGAGAACCAAACACTTTGGTGACGGAGTAGTCTTTCCCGTCTACGGAAGTTCCGGAGATGTATTCGAGCTAGTTGGAAGTCTTTTGCTAGAGCCTGACGCAGTTGCAAAATGTATTGCATCTTATTAGATCCCCCTAGGATCTTCACACACTCGATTCGGATGGTTGTGCAAATCAACTCGTCAAAAAAATCAATAAACATGATTACTCAAGAATGACTGACCGTTTGGGTGTTTCGGTGCTACATCGAGCCGCATCTTGAACGAATCAATGTTTGGAACAGAAACAATTTGGAATCCAAGATAATTCCAGGTCGTTTTTATTCTGACCCCGCAAGAGTAACGCCATCTCTTATGGAGCACCAGGTTAAAGGGATGTCCGTTGAAGTGATCTTTCCTGGATAGCGAAAGCAGAATACCACTCGGGTCGATAGTTTGCTGCAGTTCGACATTATAAGAATCGATAAATTAATGTTCCCTTTGTTATCAAATAAGTTCCCCGGAGCGGGCGTTTGAAACGTCAAGCTTAGACGTTGTCCTACGCAAAGATAAATGTGAGATGTCCATTTCAGACTGCTATCTTTCTTCCTAACAAGACTAACTCTGGATCGAAAGATCGAATTTGAAGAAAATCTATCTGCTGACAACGCGTTACAGACATTCGGATGAGCTCAAAATTAAATAAGATCGGTTTGAGAAGTGCTTTATTTTACATGAGTAATAGTTCAGCTTCTTGTATGGGAATCGACGCTATTTTCCGGTTCTCTTCAATCATTGAAGCCAAGTATTTCATATTAAAAGCTGATACCCTTTTCAAATATCATATAAAATCGGGGAGTTCCTTTGGACCCCCATTGTATCGTCTAAGTCACAAAACTAATGTTTAACAGATTACCTTTTCCTCTTCCGATTGCTATTTGATAAGTTGACCACCATTGCAATTTGACGCAAATTATTCATCGTTGTAAAATACAGCTGCAAAAATCGTTGACCCTCACGTAGACTGCATTGACAGCGTAACACACACACACTACACCTGTCACTAAGATTTGCGTTGTGTATCAGTCTTACGAAGACATTGAGCTTCGCTTCAACGAACACGACCATTGCTGACTGAGTTCTAGGGGATGGTAATCGGTCGGTCTTGTGAGCCTAATTTAGTAGTCAGTCTGCGGATTGCGGTGCAGAACATAATTTGCGATAGTCCGTCGGTAAATGGGTTTGGATTGAGTCTTTTAGTTAAACAGGAATACCACTATTTCTTTCTTCGCATTTTGGTGCCAATACTGAGCTGTCAGAAACATGGGCTGTGCAATAATCAAAAATGCGTATACGAACCGAAACAAATGATAAAATTCTTGGTAACCACGACCTCAGCGGAATTTTACTCTCTCACGCTACACTTACTACTGAGCATGTTGGTGATCAGTTTACTATGACTCAGATTTCTTACCTCATCGATCGAGGTCAGCCAGGGTCGAACTAGGCCGTGCTCGTTCAGAGCTTCTTCGTAATACATAAAAACAATTCTGGTGAAGACAGGTCAGAATCCACGAAAAACTCCTTTAAAAAGCGCTTTCTTTTTTTTCATAGAAGCATCATTTTATTCAAAATGCACAGGCTTTTCAATAGGTCCGACCTTAACAAGTGCTCATGCCCACCACTTGATACTTCTGTTCCTAAGGTTACACGATCTATCCGGCAACCTGTCTTTTATACTGAGTCATCGTACTTGAGAATGATCACACGGTCTTGCAAAACCATTTTGTTGGCCAGTCTGTAGATACCGGTTTTGGATTCATCAAGAAAACTTACCTGCGTTGGCTTGGGCAACTTGACGGTATTCACCCCACACGCAAATCGTGGAATGTGTTTCTTTTTGTAAAGATTATTTTACAAAGATTTGTTCGGCTCACAGTCTGGATTCAGACGTATGTGTGAATATATATATATATATATATATATATATATATATATATATATATAAATCG